GAGAGAGAGAGAGAGAGAGAGAGAGAGAGAGAGAGAGAGAGAGAGAGAGAGAGAGAGAGAGAGAGAGAGAGCTGATTTTTAAATTCGTTTTTCGGAAATTGAGGCGTTCACCAATCATACAGTGGTCATTTGTTCATGTCATTGAGTGTCAACTCAATTCAGTTTGTGTCACTTTGTAGTATCAATCGGCTTCGCCTTGTGATTTATCATTCCGTCACCACATCCAATTTTGTCCAATCAAGCAATTGTATTTTCAGCCGCGCCACCTTAATTCAAATCTCGTCACATTCGAGCAGCCATTGGCGTCGCCTTTTGGGTTTTCCCTCTAGGCACATTCAAATTTTTCATTGTATTGGGTAATGCATAGGAATCGAATGTATGAATGCTCGTGCAAAAGGGGAGCTTTGTCGGGCCAAAGAATTGACAGCATTCAATGTCGGAATCACAAAGCACACAGTGCGGAGGGCCAGACGGGCCATCAAATGTATAAAGAGGCCCGTGTGTTGTATTTTGTTCTCTGTGACGCCTCACAACATTCAAAGTGAAAATGCATAGATGAGTGTAGACGACGGGGGAGGTTCGGGAGAGAGGCAGAAAAACATAGAGTTAGTTCGAGTCCGGATGCATCCGAGTATGCGGGCAGAACATCACACCACACAAGGCACAAAATGACGAAAGCGAGATATTCAATCACGAAACAGGCGCCCCAACAACGGGGACGTTCGCCGTCCTTGTGCACTGGTGCCAAGACGAGGTCATGAGACAGGAGGTCGACATCTTTAGCCCATCTGAGAACAACTGCTGGACCTCGCAGAAGCAGTGAAGAGGCGAAGAAGGAGTTAAAGGTGTATGTCTTCATGGTAGCGGCAGTCCGGCCGCAGTCGTCCAGTAGCATCGCCATGTAGAAATTGACAATCTCATCGTTAAGCTCCTCGGATCTATCCACGAGTGCGACGATGTCCTTGACGGATACCTATAAACTGTGAGACGGCAAACACGCGACGATGATAGTGAGTGGCAACCGGGAGCAGATAACGTCTTCAAGGACCGCTCTTCCATCTCGAGGAAACCTTGCTCAACTAACACCCGCAGCACACAGCAAGCACAAAGGACGGTGCACTATGAGAAAATGCCGTCCTAGCGGCCATGGTCCGAGAAACCGCTACTCTGTGGTCCGAAAAGTTCACGCATAACGTCACCCCTACTTCTAGACCTTCTACACACAGTTGATTCTAAACTAGAACTGTCCTTTATATCCCTGCAAGCCTCGAGAAGGAATTCCTTGCAGTCTTTTTTGGCAACACCCGCTGCCTCTGCAACGAGTCTTGCGCGGGAGCCCAATACGGGCACGACTACCCTTCTGGGAGGGCCTCGAGGCTTAGTGTCCCCAGGGAACGCATCAATGAAATTGCGACAACCAGTGCCTCCCGCAACCAGGACTGAAAACCTGGCGAGGGCAGGCAGCTCCTGCCACATGGGTGTTTGTCTACGAGTTCGTCGACCTGCACAAGAAATAGCCACCCAGACAGTTCAGCAGGAGATCAACAACACAAGTTCGCAAGAGCAACCAAGCAAACAGCACTCCACGAAGCACATCGTCACAATCCAGTTGGCGGCCGCCTATACACCTCCCCGAAATCGACGAAGCAAACAACACTTCACGAACGGGCTGACGAGAAGGAAGAAAGCAGAGAAAGTCAGTGCTTACCAGGCCTAGCTACCACTTCACCAGAGCCCACCGACGGCAGTCCCAGCACAATTGGCACCCCTCCGCGCGTCGACGCGGCGACGACATGCGTCAAACCCACAGGGAAACTTGACAGGCTCGAGATGTCGGCATCGATGACCGTAGACGGTATATTCGTCCCCGGACAAAGATCGTGGACGTCCACAACATCGACAGGTTGTGTTTTCTCCATTGCCACTGTGTCGTATTCTGTTGTGCTCAATGTCCCATGGATGTCCAACAACACCTTACCCCCCCTTAACTTCTTGTCCCCGTACGCTGTGTCTTTGTCGTCGTCACTCAAATAGAAAAATCTATCTCCAACAGCGTCAGAGGCCTTCTTCAGAACGTCCTCCCCCATCGCCTCATTGTGAAGGGCGGAGTACAAGGGATCGTCGTATCCCGGCTGAACTGGTAGCTCCATCCCGTCGTCACTGAGTGTCGGATCAATCCAGTCGTCTGCGGAATTGTCCTTGTCCAAAGTCGTCAGTAGTCGACAACCCTCAACGCCTACCAGTTGAAGTCCTTCGTCCGTGTGCCTTGGATGAATCCGAATCACGATCGTCTCCAAAGATGCATCAGGGAGGGAGATGTTCACAAGGCCCTGGTTCGGATTCATCCGAGCCCCTGCAGTTTCCAATGACGCCGACATGACCGCTATCACCGGGGAGTCGCTTACGACTGCTAACTCGGCTCCGAGTGTGTTGGGCTCGACATTGGAACTGGTCGCCAACTCACCCTCAGTCCGACAGTCCGCCTGCAGCTCCTTGTGGGCTTCCACGCAGAGCATTACCGCATCCTGACACCGACCGTCTGTCATGGCAGACACGACTTCCTGGTTCGGATGAATCCGAATTTCGTCGCCAGGGTTTTCGGAAACCCGGACCACTCGTTCGAGTTCTGTAGACATTGTCGTCTTGCTTCCCGGAAGGCACTGAGTTCCGGACAACGAGGTCGTCTCCGAGGTTCGGATTGATCCGAGACGATCCGCCAACCGTATTTGGAGCTGAGCGAAGCATGTTCCATGCTTTGCGACACCCGCCCCGCCAACCACATCGACAAACTGTGTTTCGCTGGTGGAGTTAATCACAGGGTTCTGCTCTCCAGGCCGCGTAATACACCCAGGCCTCAAGTCGTTCCCCGTCTCCATTGAGGTGCTGCCTGTTACCGCCAGAACCCCACCGTCCTCGTCGTGGTCGACATTGGACCCCTGCCCGTCTCCTCTGTGATGCTTTGTCTTCTCTCCGCTCCGAGGCTTCTTCTTCTCCCGGCTTCCCTTTGTCCCCTCTCCGCCGCCTGCGTGCCCCGGAGACCGCTGTTTCGTCGATCGCTGTTCACTTCCACCTTCGGTACCTCTTTGCCGGCCGCCTTCATCATCCCTGTCCCCCTCCTTTCCGCGAGACTTGCGCTTCACAACTCCTACCGGCGGGGTGACCCCAGGCAACTCCCAACTCACTTGCTTAATTGACGGGCTTGACGGAAGGGCGTAGAATGCGGAGGACACTTCTAGCCATTTATTTGACTGCAAGAACTCGAACAGCGTGTCCCCGTATTCGCGAAGAGCAGGGTTGTCCTTATTTCGTCGATTAACCTCATTTAATCTCTCCAATACCGCATCGTAGGCGCGAGATTTGAATGTCTCAAGGTCCCAATGATCGTCATATATCCACCCTCCACTTACGTCCCTCACAGCCACTGCCCATTCGCCGTCGAGAAGGACTGGCTGGAAATGGTCTGGGTGCCACACGATATCATGGCCCCAATCTTCGGCTGTGGAGAAGGTGTGTTTGTCGCCCATGTGGAAGGGAGTCGCAGGAGCCTTGAGATGCGGATGGTCCGGAGGAACAGGATGGCCGGGTCGAAGACGTTCGGGCTGCGGCGTGAGACGAATAGGCTCCCCCGGCGAACTCCTCAATCAGGACAACCCACCCTTCTTGACAGACGCTGAGGAGGACACGGGCGTGGGACCGCCCGAGGTAGGTGTAGCGAGAGGTGTCCCCGGTTTGCATACTGATGGCGTTGAAGATGGCCAATTGCCCGTCCAAATCGAAGAGGTCGTCCTCAACGCTCTCCTCTTGCTCAGTCTCGATATTGAAGTCGTCCTCCTCACCGAATGCCAGTTTGTACTTATCCAAAGTGAAGTCGGCCGGATTGACAACATCCTCGTTAAAAAAGACATATTCCAGCCTCTTAATGAAGCTCATAGCGCCGGCTCGCTCTGTGGTAGCCCTGGAGGACCGCAATGGCGACTTCCTTCCGCACCACATACTGCGGGTCAAATCTCAACCTTGGTTGTTCACCGTAAAGGAAGGAGTAGACCTGGCGCCTTTTCTTTGGAGTCAACTTGAAGAACATGTCCTTGTTCGGGTCATAAACGGGCTCGACCACGACATGGTGGAAATCGCATGGGTAAGCCTTGGACGACAGTTCATGGGTGACATACTGCACGGTGTATTCGAGCTGCGTTGTGTCCCCATCCACGGCCAAGACGTGCCTTCCCTGCTGAAGCAGACTCCACACCACCTGCGCGTGCGGCTTGCCCAAGAACAGCACGGCATCCGCCACACCACAGAAGAAAAGAAGATGATTGCACAACTAATTCGGATTCCGCTCGCCGTCCTTGTACAGAGCCCCCCTCTGGGTCAGGTTTCCGATATCCGCGAAAGTCAAAGCCTTGAAAAACTTCTCCTCCACATCCGTGGGTGTCACTTTCTGTTTCCTCCGGAGAGCGGCGGCGTCGTCTTCAGCAACAGCTCCCTCGTACACCGGGAGAGTCAGTAACCGAGGATCCTCGCCTTTGAAAAGGATGTGCATCACATCCGGCTCCTCCCAGACGTTGTTTCCAAACTGATGCGTCTTCTTCGATGCTGTCTTCCAAACCCACTTCCCCGTGTAGCATCGGGTAGCCCCAAGCGCAGACAAACATGTCATGAAGGAGAGGTTCCACAGGCAGGGGACGAATACCACCAATGTCCAATAGTCCTGACAGATAAAGCCCAGCAACTCACTCAGAGACGCGAATGCCTTAGAGTCCCATTGCGCACGGTCCACAGCACCGCATAAGTCGAGCACGCTTATGATGCCCTAGTTTTCCCAGCGCCTGCTTATGATCTATGACACTCAACGGGTCGACGTTAAACTGGGCCAGCGTCGTCAAGGCGCTTGTCTTTGTCCACATAATGTTGATGCATTCATCAACGCCCCGAGGGCTTTTTTTGCCTTTGGCGCGATCTCCAGTGATCACCGAAAGGACGACACGCTTCCACTCCRCCGGGAAATGCTGGTCGTTGACGAGGGCCGCCGTTCTCTTGATGTTGTTGTCGTGTTGACACCCGAGAAACTGAGGGCACTTGTTGACGTATGTGGTTTCCGTGAAAAATTTCTTGCTCTCGTTCCAAAGGTTGTCGTCGAGACCTTTGTCCTTGAACTCTTCGAATAGTTGCTTCTTGGACCTGAAGAACGTGGAGTTGGCATTCCACTCCCGCTTATCCATTTCCTCGTACTCAAACTCCACGTAGTGCCACAACCTCAGCATAATCCGGTCCATTTTTATTATGTCGACCATCTCCTTGACACTGAACTTCCCCTGCTCGGCCAACTTTTTGCTACTCGTTTGAACCCACACGACGTTAAGGTTCAAGACATCGTTCAACAACCTTTTCTTCTCGCGGTCCGTCAAGTCCACTAATTCCTTCCAGCAGTGGACATCCGTCTCAGGAACTTGGACGTAGAAAGTTTTCTCCTCCGCGCCTTTCTTTGGCTTCCCCTTGCCCTTTTTCAACGACGGGTCGTCCACCTTCACGTACCAGACGTGTTTCTTCAGCCCCTGGCTGTCAGTCACAGTGGAGAGTCCTGGCTTGGCCACCTCCTCATGGGTGGGCGGCTTTTAAGTCCAACGCCGGCCGTCGGAAGCAAGGAGTTTCCCTTTCGACCACTCCTCATAGAACTTCAACCCCAAAGAGAAGACGGAGTCATCTGCCATGGCCAGCGGGAGGTAGTATCAAAGTTTCTCAGCCCATTCCTTTCTTTTCTTTGCTTCCGTTGACAGGTTCCAGATAGGCGTGTACGGCGTCTTCTTCATAGCCAACGCCATGAACCGCACCCACTTTCGCAACTCGTCCTGTTTCTTCGAGGCATTGCCGAGCACCACACGCGGTTTGCCCTTAATTTTCTAGATATTGCGAATGTCCCGCATAGATAGAACCTGCAAGCGCGGTGGATTCTTCTTGTCTTTCATGTTGTCTTCGCAGCTGACATGGGCGTAGCCGTCGAACTCGTCGTCAAGGAAGTAGATCGGTCTGAACGGCCATTTACAGAAGTTGTAGTAATCAAACACGATATGGTCTTTCACCATCATCGCCGCCCTCGCGTTATGCTGTCCACACACAGGATAATACCAGTATCTCTCCGGGTGTGAGCTGTCGAAGTCAGCAGGCAGCACGCGCACAGCAGGCTCGCCATTCTCTGGAACAGCCCCTGCTCGGACACCTCCTCCTCACCGGCGACGTTCCCACTTGCTTCTCGTTCCTGGCTCAACTCCGTCTGCAGTTCCCCCGGCGCTGGTCGGGCCCGGCGAGTCGTCTCATCTGACCCACACACCTCTCGAACCTGCGCACCACCCGCTCGATCTCCAAGCGAAACCTCGGCCACCTACATGCCACGAACGAACGAACTGATCCTTTCGACCAGACAACGAGGAGTCGTCGATTCTGAGCCCTGTCGCAACCGTTCGCCATCGCCGCCTCCATGTGGCATCGTCTTCCCAAGCAAACCGTGGTGGCGATATACATGCAAGCCCGGTTTCAAAGAAGCACGCGGATGGTCGTCCTCCGAGTCGTCTGACATGCCCACCTCTTGATCAGGAGGCGTAGCTTGCAGGCCACCCTGACCTCCCATCTCCCTTTCAGAGCACTCTCCTCCCGCGAAACCAACAGGACCACTGATTGATGTTCCAGGTACGACGTCCACGGCACTGACAGAGGTACCAGATTTCTCCCAGACCTCGAGGAAGTCTGTGACGTGAACGGCCTCGTAGTGCCCCGGCGCTAGCGGGAGAAAGTGAGGCAAAGACATCGCACAACGACCGTACCCGCCGAACATCTTCCCGGCAACCTTGCATCCCTTTGCAATGCCGTCGACAAAACCATCACTTCTGTAATGCTTCTTCAACGTAAACTTGAAATTGTATTCGCCATCGTCGACCCACAGGAGGATGGACCCTACGAGACGCGTTCTATCGGCGTGAACGGCGACGAACAAGAGCGGCCCGCACGGTGGTTGCAACGGGTCGGAGCCGTCCTGGCTCGCCCAGTCCAAATACCAGACATGTTTGCTGTAGTCGCACCACAAGTTTTGAGCACGTCGTTCTTCCTCCCCACCTCCAACTCCCCGACTCGTTTCCCTTGCCGGCGACGACGTCGTCCCTCGACGCTCCTTTCCGTGCGGGGCGGAACCACCAGCAGAGCGGCCTCGTCCGTGTGAAGCCATTCCCTGAAACACACGGAGGAAATGAACCCACATTCACTCAGAATAGACTGCACGTCCCAACATCAACCACGACCCACGACACGTATTCTGTTCTCGGTCACCCGGACTCCAAAAGAACGAAGTTCAGTCATAGCTAGACGACAGTGGTCCACAAGCCTGCACGTTTCAGATGAATCTGAGGCATCGTCAGCCATCCTCGTCACACTGCCCTTAAGAGAACGAATGGTCGAAAACGAAGACCGTGGGATAGATAGGATACATCCGAAGCAGGCGCAGTCGAAAAACCGATGTCGCATAGGCACCTGCCCCGGGAAAAGCAACACCTCCCAAGAAGGCCCTAGAACGCTGATACGGCAGACGAAGGCCAATATGTTGTCATCCAAAGTCGACAAGTGGATTGTAAAGTCCGCCGTTGTAGTTCGGATGAATCCGAGCTCCAAAGCGGTGTGGACCTCCCCCTGTCGGCCCGTACGAAACCGAACTCGAGTTTTCTTGTCCTTCTGAGTCGGTACCGGTTGTGACTCGGATGCATCCGAATTCGAACAGCACGGTCCAGAGACGGTCGTCCACAAGAGGTCATCTACAGCACGTGTTTTCGTCACCGACCTGCGAGCACTGGGTTAACCCTATCCTGCCGGAGGTTCGGTTCGGTTGAACCGGAACTTCGCAAATGTGGCTCGAATTAATCCGAGACGGGGACCGGCGGATGGACCTCACGGTCTGTTGACGCCCATCCAGCCATCCAAGCTTCCGTTATTCCCCAGTTGTCGTCAGGTCCAACCGAATTTCACACGGTGTGTCTTCGTCCTTGAGTGTTTAAGACGGGTGTGGCTCGGATTTATCCGATTTCGATAGAGGCTGTCCCGATACGTGCGACCACGACAGGCTACGCCGACACCGTGTGCTTTCGACGTACAAGTTTATCAGACCGTGCGACGTCGTCAATACCCTCTGCGCATGTGGTAAATCCGAAAATGCCACCGGTGTGGTTCGGATTAATCCGACTTCACCGAGGCGCTTCGCTTTGTTGTCGCTCCACCACACAGCGGACCTCCCCGCGATTGCCGTAGTGTGTCATTATAATCTGTGTGTCATCACGGGGGATATTGTCGTCGTCGTGAGTTTTAGTTGGTTGTTGCTCGCCCAATCCAAACAACAGACACGTTTGCTGTAGTCGTAGCACAAGTTTCTAGCTCGTCTTTCTTCCACCGAGCGTAACCATCTCGACTCGTTTTAGTTGCATGAATCCGAGGCAGCTTTCTGGAAGACGAAGACAGTGTGGTAGTTCAGACACATCCGAACTGGGCAGAGTCGAAAGACCAACGTTGTGACTCGGATGCATCCGAGTTAGGCCGACCACAAGAGGAGGACATCGGCACGGCGTGTTTTCCTCAATGACCTTTGAGCAGAGGGTGGACCCTATCCTGTCGGAGGTGTGGTTCGGATTAATCCGAGACAGAACGGTCTTTTGACAGCGTGTGATTTCGTCGTTCACGTTTATGGGAACGTGCGGCGTCGTAAATACCGTCTGAGCATGTGACAAATCCAAATTTGCCGTCAGTGTGGTTCGGATTAATCCGAACTTCGCCGAGGTGCCTCGGTTAGTGGTCGCCCCGTGAGTTTTAGTGGGTTGTGACTGGATGCGACCGAAATTAACAAGGATGGCTCGGATACGTCAGTTGTTGCGCCACCACAAGCTGGTATGGACAGGGTGGGCTGGGCGGGCTGTCGTCCTCCTGGTTGGTCAAACATGTCGCCGTCAACAATACCCTATGAGCATCTGATCGCTCCGTGTCCTGTCCGATGTCCAAGTCAAGGGAAGGGTTCCTCGCGGCGTTCGGCTGACGCGACGTTTGATAGGGTTTAAAGATTTGAATTCACGTTCGCCTCCTGTGTCTTCGAATCTATCATAGCAGTCTTCGGACCACTGATCTGTGATTTGAATTCACGTTCGCCTCCTGAGATCGGTTGAGCGACTGTCTGCGATACACAAAGATTGGAGAAAGGCAGAAAACCCGCATAGACACGGAAGGGATACTAAGATCGATAGAGACGTCGACAAGGAGGGGATGCGCAGCGAGAGAGCCTGTCTTTAGCTCTCTGTCTCTCCATGTGCAGATTCTGCGGATGGTGTTGTCCATTTCGGAATTCGCAATGTGACCGTTAATAAAACGGCACAAAAGAAGTTTAAGAAAAAATTGTTCGTGTCGGCGAGAGGAAGATTGGCAAAAAATGTAAAAAATTCGACGAATGTGGAGGACATTTTACGGATACAGAACCGAACGCCGAGCGAACTGCACGACGCGACTTACGCGGAAAACGAATAAACAAACCGAGCGCAATAAAAATTTATTCGGCGAGAAGAAAGTCCATGTGCAATCCAGAAGAGACACGATTCGTGAGAAACCATGTTCTCTTGTTCGACATCATACGACTGAAATCCTTATATCGCAGTTCGTGAGAGAGACAACAAATTGACGACAAGCGAGTAACACTTCAACAAAACATCTGAAGTGACGACACAATCTGGAAGTGCGTGTCGCAACATTCTCGGGCTGCATTCGCGGGTCCCGTTTCGTTGGTGACCACTCGCCCCGATCAAATGGCACACTCACATGTCCACGTGACAGCTCCTGAACATGCGTGGCGACGATCAGATAGAGCCCCGCATCCATCAGCGTGGCCATGCTTGTTCAAGACGTGATACGTGGACGTCTGAGTGTGCCATCTGATCGGTGTGAGTGATCTCCAATGAAACGCATGCATTCTTGCTCCCAAAACTCCATCTCGCCCCGATCAGATGACACATTCAGACGTCTGTATGTCATGTCCTGAACATGCGTGGCCACGCTGATGGGCGCTGGGCTGTATTGGAGCCTCGCATCCATTCTGCTGCCGCATAGAGCCCCTTTGTCGCATAGAGCCCCGCATCCATCAGCGTGGCCACGCTTGTTCAGGACGTGACACGTGGACGTCTGAGTGTGCCATCTGATCAGTGCGAGTGATCGCCAATGAAACACATGCATTCTTGCTCCTGAAACTCCTCATCTCGCCCCGATCAGATGAAACACTCACACGTTCGCATGTCATGTCCTGAACATGCGTGGCCCCGCTGATGGGCGCTGGGCTATATTGCAGCCTAGCATCCTTTCTGTTGCCGCATAGAGCCTCGCATCCATCAGCGTGCACACGCTTGTTCAGGAACTGACACGTGGACGTTTGACTGTGCCATCTGATCGGGGCGAGTGGTCGCCAATGGAACGAGATCCGCAAACGTACCCCGAGGTACGTTCGCGAAAGAAACAGGCCAACACATAAGACGAACGAAATAGAGGCGCTGAAGACAAACTAACGACGGGGACGAAGATGGTAGTTGAACACGACGGCACACACGTCCACGTGTCAAGTCGTGATCATGCGTGGTCACGCTGATGGGTGCGGGGCTCTATTCAACAACATTCTGTTGCCGCATAGAGCCCCGCATCCATCAGCGAGCCCACGCTTGTTCAGGACCTGCCACGTGGACGTGTGAGTGTGCCATCTGATCGGGGCGAATGGTCGCCAATGGAACTAGATTCGCGAAAGCAGGCCGACGGAGAAGACGAACGACATAGAGGCACTGATAGAAAACTGACGACGATGGTGGCGGAACACGACGCTATTGGTTCTGTCTCGTTCGTTTGTCTGCGCTTGTCAGTTACGTTCGCAAACTTTGTGCGAACGACACAGACAAGCACAGTGAAACGAACGAGATAAAAGACTGAAAGAGAGATAAAGAGATAGCGAGAGAGAGAGAGCGCGACATAGAGGCGATCTCCGCCTTCATCACACGGCCCAATCAAACGTCACGATCAAATGGCCCCGAACGTCATAGACTCCCTATCACACATCGGACTCACGGAGAGAAATCCCTGTTGGATCACACGACACTGCTCGTTCTCGGCGACTGAACCCAATCTAATCACCACCGCGCGAATCCCGACTACAGATCGCGTACATGTGTGGGCATTCTGACGGTTTAGGCAAACCCAGCATAGCAGGACTTTTCAGGTCGATGGAGATGGCGAGAGAAAGAGAGAGAGGTAGAGAGGGAGCGAGAGAGAGCGAGAGAGGGAGAGAGACAGAGAAAGAGAGAGAGAGAGAGAGAGAGAGAGAGAGAGAGAGAGAGAGAGAGA